TATATGCTCTCCCTCCCTCTTAAATTTTTTTTTTTTTTTATCACTACTTTCTTATCTTTCGCCGCTTTTTTCTTTGTTTTTTCCTTCTTCTCTAGTCGTCTAAATCACCAAGCTCGCTCTCTCTCTCTCTCTCTCTCTCTCTCTCTCTCTCTCTCTCTCTCTCTCTCTCTCTTCTTTCTTTCTTTATCAATCTGCGTCTACTCTAGTCTTGGATAGGGCATTGTCTCTAAATTTAAGGGCAAGGTACCCTACAAAACGAAGAGTTCCAACTTGTCGTTTAGCGTATTTGCCAAGTAGTAGTAGAAGTGAGTGAAAAAGTAGCCACCACGGTAGCTCTCTGGTGGGGGTGACCATGAAGGACAATAACTCCGGATCAGGAAGCAGAAAGCAGGGCGCTCCTTCGCCCTGCGCGGCGTGCAAGCTTCTCAGGCGAAGATGCGCCCAGGATTGTGTTTTCTCTCCTTATTTTCCTGCCGATGAGCCTCAGAAATTTGCCAACGTGCACAAGGTTTTTGGTGCCAGTAATGTCAGCAAGATGTTGCAGGTAATATGCTGTATATAATGCATGCTCCGCTACTGTTATTGGTCCGTGCTTTATATTATTATTAAGCAATCCCTTGAATTTTTGTCCTTTTCCCTCTTTTTGCTGTCCGAGAATAATATTCCAATTCAAGGTTTTTCTTAAAAAGAAAAAAGAAAAAGTAGAGGCCGTTGTTGGAAGCAAGTTCATGCAATTCTTTCCTAAAAAAAAAAAAACAAGGATATATTTTGCTAAATTAACTACCTAACAATAACGAATTAGCATGTTATAGAAAAAGTTGGATTCAAAAACCGTAATGATATGAATTATTAACTAATAACATTTTTGTTTAGCTAGGTTGTTGTTTTCTTTTTTTCTTTTTTTAAATAAATTAATAAAAAAAAAAAAGAAAACTTGATTCATGATCCTGATCATTTGAATTGCATGAAGCTTGTCACTTTGGAAGTTGTTCCACAACCCACATGCATTAATATACATACATATATATATATATATATATATATATATTTATATCACCAATCAACCTTTCCACTAGCTAAGAGTCAAGCTTAGATTAGCTAACCGGAATTCGGAAAAAGGCTCCCCCAGACAACTTCTTGATATTTTTCTAGTCTTTGAGATTTTAGTCTTTAATTTGTCAATGGTTGGTATTTTTGTTCTTTGATTTAGAAAACAGTCTAAAATTTTTTTTTAGAGGAAATAATTCTTATATTCTCTTTGAATTGGAATACTAGTACATTTGACTTCGAGTAATTCGACTTCAATTAATTTAATAGGACAAATGTTGTGGGAGTCGTTGGGGCTTTGAGTAAGTTAGAGGAAAAGAGATTGTGTCATTCTCATTAGCTTCGGTTCCATTTCAAGATCAACAATATGAACTATGCAGTTTTCTATGACTTAAAATAAATAAATAAAACTCCTAAGATCTCTTGGTCTAGTGGCACTAAGGGCCGTTTGGGTGGGGAATCGCATGTTCAATCTCGTGTTGTATTAAAATAATAAATAAATAAAAACTTTGTTTTTCCTAAGGGCTTTTTCACCTGATCACGTGAAGTTGTTTCCTAGCATTTCTTCTTCTACATGGCTTCTTTTTCAAATTGAAAAACAAACAATTATAGTGTCATCCCTTTTCTCTTCTCTGGGGCCTCCTTTGGTTTCTAAATTAGATGCGAAAATCAACCCCAAAAGAAATCTTGTTTGTTTATGAAGAAAAGGTGCTTCACCGATAGAGATGGGTACCTAGAAATTCCAAACAGAAATTACAAAAAGAAAAATTCTCTAGATTTGGGATTTGTTACTTTTAATTCTTTTTTATTAACGATTTTGTACGTTGCAAATATTGAATTCGAGATAAACGGTATTCGTTAGACATATATAGTCAAATTATCATTCATCTTTTGAAGATCTAGCCGTCTCTTTCATTTCAATAGACTTGCAAAGTTTGATAATTCCAATTTTCAGTGCAATATATACCATTCTGAATTTACCAATAATACACACACACACATATATATATATACCATTTTTTGCAGGTTTTTTTTTTCTTTTTTTTGTTCTCTCTGTTGGTAAAGACATGAACGTTATCATGGATTATTTAACAAACACAGCATATGAAATCAGTTGGTACACTTCGTGAGGAGAAAATTGTTGAATTTACTTTGACAAAAAAGAATAGTAATCAAGAGTGAGGAATAAAAGTTTAAGACTTAGACCCGGTTTATTTCACTGATTTAAGTTTAGAATTTGAGTTTTACTACAGTAAAAAATTCTCAGAAACAATCATATCTAACTTTTTTACTATAATAAAAACTCTCACATAAATTTATATTTCAACTTAAATCAACAAACTAAATGAATCTTTATACATTTTAAAAGTATTTATCTCCTTTCTCTCCTCTTGAATTAGTAGGCCATTGCTATTTGCTTGCCTCAAAAAAGAGGCAGAAAGAGAGAAAATTTCAGAAATATAATGATAGAGTCAAATGTTGTAGGCACATTATAATAATGACAATGACGCACGTTAAGCTTTTTGCACTATCTCACTACATGATGTTATCATTACGTAGTGCCCACTTGGCTTCCTGGGCCTTGGGCTTACAGTGATTGGGTTGGGCCCACACAAGCTAAAAAGTTATCGTGCTGCAGGAGTTGCCGCTCCACCAAAGAGGAGATGCAGTCAGTAGCATGGTCTATGAAGCAAATGCCAGGGTCAGGGACCCAGTGTACGGCTGTGTTGGGGCCATTTCATCTCTGCAACAACAGATCGATGTCCTCCAGGCCCAATTGGCTCTGGCCCAAGCAGAGGTAGTCCACTTGCGGGTTCGGCAGAGTGCGCCTTTGTCAAATCATGGGCTGAGCCCAGCTAGCCCAAGTAACAGCGGCTCTCCCTCGTCCAAGTTCGTGGGCTCTCAGGCCAAGCCCATTTTCGACATGGATATGACAGTGGACCAATCCACCTACGGAGAGACGTGTGGTCATGCCGGCTTAATTTCCGGATTCTACTAATTAATACTACACATATAAATATATATATATATATATATTTGAGTACTTAAAACTCTTGTCCGCCTTAGGTTTAATTTATTTTTATTTAAACCTTACTATACATCTGGATCCATCGGTAGGGATGGGGCGGCGGTGATGGCAGCGCACAGCTGAGGCGAAGAAGCGGTGGTGGAGGCCATTCGCCCGCTTTGGTCTTAATTAATTTTGATTAACTAGGGATTAATGTACAGACGACTTAACTTTTTGAAGGAGTGGGTCATTATAAACTAGCTAAATTCCGGATCATGTAAGTTGGGGTCACCCATCTATTGCGTGGGATTTTCATTTAATCCAAGTGGTATAGTTATATTTAATATTGGATATTGGCTCTACTAGCTTATTGGTTATAT